GTGCCGCCCGGCGCCCGCCGGGGCCCGGGGCCATTGGCAGCGGATGCCAGGCTTGTCGCCGGGCCTCCTCCCCTCCCGCTCTAGGACGTGGGCCGTGTCCAAAGGCGAACCTGCAGCCTCGGTGCAGTCCTTGCGGTCTCCCGGCGCCGGGGAGGCGGGACGCGGGGCGGTCAGGCCGTGCCAGAGCCGGGGGCGCTGCAGGCAGCGGCAGCTGCTCGGCTACCCTCGGGGACTTGGCTTCCTCCCGCGGCCTCGCACCCATCGCGGCCCGGGGGTGTGAACTTCTGACGGGTTTGCAAAGGCAACATTGCCCTTCCCTAGGCGGAGCTTACAGCATATCATAGCAGAGAGGGCACTGTTGGCTGGTTTAGTTTGGTTTTGAGGCAAGATGATTTATACCATGGCTTTTTAAAACTTACAGATTCAGTTTCAGCTTGGTCATGGTTCCTTCACTATTGACATCATTGCAGTACTCAATAAAAATTGCTCACAGTCTTGGTGGAGCAGTGTATTGCACACTGTTCTACAACTAATGTGATGCAAAGCTATGTGCTGGTATGGGAAGTCAACTGAAAAATACAGCATGGGTGCTCACCATATTATCTGTGCTGTAAATAGTGTGGCTTCCCTGTTGATTTGAATTGTAGCTATTAAACCGGAGGGAAAAAGTTTGAATAGTTTAGTGATGATGCTGTCATGGACAGGTGTCAAACAAAGCTAATCTGAGAACTTTCTGGTTAATGTGGGTGTTCTCTTTAAGCTTGCTACCAATTTCATATTGGTTACCTTGTTTCAGTTATTTCAAGCTAGTTTTAGAATTCTTGAGTATTGGAAAGCTCACTTGACTTTTAAGAGTGGAACAGGTGTATTGTATCTAAAGTAACAAATGGATTTTCAGTAAACCTAAGTCTTACTGCAGCTGCATTTGCTATTCTACAGTATTAATTTCTGTACATCTTAAAGGTGCACTTCTATGGACCACTTTATGCAGCTGTTGCAGTTTTTACTGATGTTTGTGTCAATTTTCTTGTTTCTGTGTAAGTGCTTTTAAATCTTAACAGTAATAAAAGCAGGTTATAAATACAAGTAGCTTTTAATAAAATTTAATCTTACACATACTTACCACAATAAAGACAGACGTCTGAACTAGTGCTTTTAAAACACATCATCAGAAGCTTATTGTTCTTTTGTGCAATGAGTTCAAGTTTTTTTCTGTCATATATCAGGTTTTTAGTTAATTACTTGTCTATTAGGTATAATAATGTTCCATGGAAACATGTTTTTTCAGATTGTTGATAAACTGTGACTGCTTAATGAACTTCCATGACTAATCTTATTGCACTCACCTTTTAAAGCAATGTCTTGATGTGGTCTAACAATAATTCTAACAAGTTTTAAATATCCTGTTCACAATTTTGACACTTTTTAGTGCAGACCAAGGTTTCGTTATTACATAGAGACAGCATTTAATTGGAGTTTTGGACTTCAGAGATCCATGGCCTACCTTTGAGGAGATGTGTGCATAAATGTATATATATGTTTATACATATTAAAAACTAGGAAAATAAAGTCTGTTATTAATAGATCTACCTTTCTTAAACTGACATCTGCACCTCCACTGTGAAGTGTTTGGTGAGAGTCAAGGCAAAGATTCACTGTGGGTTTTGGCTTTGAGAGCGACCACTAACAGGATTTCTGGAGTGCATTTTCTATGCTAATGTAGTTTAAGAAACTCAAAACTTGGAAGGTAGTTGTACTCAGAAAGTTGTACTTTCTGAGACTTTGATTGCTCAAACCTCAGGTTGGTAGTTGCTTTTTTGACCTCTCAGTCGTGCCGGTAAAGCTGTTAGTGGGCCAGGATATTTTTAACCTGCGCTGGTTCATGTCATAGTCCTGTGAAAAATAGTACTAGCACAACTGAGGTAGCAGTGCAGGAGCAGGGTGGGAACTCACTTGGCTGGTGTTGTTGCCAGGAAAAAAGTCAGTGGAAGCTTGGCTTCAAATCATAGCATAAAGATGAAAAAAAAGATTAAAATATCTGAAATAATATTGATGCTTGCCTTTTGAAAGCTACCATATGTTTTAGGTCACCTTTTGAAAGAGTCCAGCGCAGAGCTACAAAGATGATGAAGGGAGTGGAACATCTCCCTTATGAGGAAAGGCTGAGGGAGCTGGGTCTCTTTAGCTTGAAGAAAAGGAGACTGAGGGGTGACCTTATCAATGTTTACAAATATGTAAGGGGTGAGTGTCAGGAAGATGGAGTTAGGCTTTTCTCAGTGATGACCAGTGATAGGACAAGGGGTAATGGGTGCAAATTGGAGCATAGGAGGTTCAAGGTGAATGTCTGAAAAATTTTTTTTACTGTGAGAGTGACAGAGCCCTGGAACAGGCTGCCAGGGAGCTGGTGGAGTCTCCTTCACTGGAGAAATTCAAAACCCACCTGGATGCGTTCCTGTGTGATGTTCTCTAGGTGACCCTGCTCTGGCAGGGGGGGTTGGACTAGATGATCTTTCGAGGTCCCTTCCAACCCCTAGGATTCTATGATTCTATGTACGTCCTTATTCATAAAATGAAACATCCATAAGAGATGCTACCAGTTGGTGTAACCTTCTAAGTCCATGCCTATGTTACCAAATCACAAAAATCTGCATTACAGTGTCAGTGAGGTTATCACATCTCTTTTTAGAGTTCTGCTAACATATAGATTGCTTGTACCTATTTTGTATTTTTAATTTAAATTACATGTGCTTTCCTATTTATCATTTCCATGAGCAAAGTGTTTGAAAATAGTCTTTTGTTTTGCCTTGAGGCCTAATGAACTTTGTTTGAGTGTTAGTAAAGAAAAGGTGTTCTGAAGAACATGCTTCCGAAGAAGAGAATCGGGCTTCATCCTCTTTCCAGGACCTGGCACGTGGCCCCAGTTTCTTTGTCAAGTGGAAGTTGGCTTCATACTCTTTCACTTTTCCCTCAGCAAGAATCTAGTTCAGTGTCTTATTCTCTGCTTTCCTACTATGTTAATTCAGCACCTTAAGGTGATGGAGTGTAGCTTTGCTATTGTATCCCTGAGTTTTAGCATGGAACACTAGCATCCCCATTCTCATGCACTTTAATGCAAGCAGAGGCACCATTCTGTGTGCTCCTTAGTGCAAGAGGAAGTCTCCAAGCACAAGGAATTAAGTCTAATGAGATCTGTGCAAAATTTTTACCAGGTCCTAATTGATAATGGAAAAACTATGCAATGCGTTGTGGGTATGGCTTTGGATTTTTAGTGTTGTTGGGGGGTGGGTGTTGTTTGAAGGGTTTTTAGGGGGGTGTTTTTTTGTTTTTTGTTGTGTGGATTTGGGGAATTTTGTCTTGGTTTTGTTGGGTTTTAAAGAAAATGTGAGTATATGGGAAGCCTTGGAAAAATATTACAAAATTGGTGAGCTATAGTAGATGGTGGGTTTGGGTGGAGTTTTGTTTGGTTTGGGGTTTTTTAGATGCAAGGAGAATAAAACTGTAACTAGTGTTTCAGTGACTCAGTTGTGCTAAGTGTATTGCATACTTCACTGTAGGGTCTGCACATGTCTTGTGGGTCACTTACCTGGAATAGGAATATTTTTTTAAAAGATACCTTTCGCTGTTATTGCAGAGGCTTCCTTTGATAGTGGTGGATTATATAAAAGTAGTTTAAATCATGTGTAGCATTATCTTTGGTCTTTTTTCATTTTTAGTAGCAAAAGTGAGGATTCAAATAATTATCAGAAAGGTGATGTGCTGTCAGTCTTTGAAGAGATCATCCATATCAGATCAGGTTCAACATGTACAGAACATGAGAAGGGGGAGGAAGACTTCTATTGGATTATGGTCAAGTGCAGTAATCTCTACTGAACAGTGAAACTTTTTTTTTCATGACAGTACTGAATGTTTTGGTATGTATTTTTTGTTTTTTTACTGTCTAGTCTCAAGATGGCAGAATTATTTATGGAATGTGAAGAAGAGGAACTAGAACCATGGCAAAAGAGAGTGAAAGAAGTGGAGGAGGATGATGACGACGATGAGCCAATCTTTGTTGGGGAAATCTCAAGCTCGAAGCCGGCTAGTACATGTAAGAGAGTATTTTCAGTAATTTAAAACAGATATTTCAAGGTATAAAACTTCAAACTTGCTTTGAAAGTACATAATTGCTAACAGTAAGACTTAAGAAGTTCTGCATCATGAAGCTGTTCTCTAGTTTGCTGTCATATTGAAAACTGGAATTTTTAAGAAATTCTGTCCTAAAACCCAGGTTTTAGGGCAGCTCTGTCTAGCTCTAACCTTAAATATCTGAAATCAAAGCAAGAGTATTTCAAGGTTTTAGCATTAACAGTATGGTTAAAAATTTGGTATATACAATGCTGAAGCCATGCATGCAGTTGCTCTTAATATGGTTAATATTTAGTTAGATACTTAATAGTGTCTCCCTACTCAAGGAACGTGCATGAATTTAAGTGTTCATGTTACAGTCCCTGTTTTTCTCCACCTCACAATTCATTTGTTGATGGGCAGACTGAATGGATGGGATATTCTGAGAAAACCAGAGTGACCGTCTTAAGTGTCTCTAATAAAATCACGATCAGGAAAAGTGATTATTGTGGAAATAGTAGAAGTCTCTGTTAAATTTGAGATTTTTATTATTCAAGTCATTAATCCCCTGTAAAGTAGTTTTTTTGTCAAGTTCTGTAGTTTTCTCTTAATGCAGGCAGTGCAGGGAGTCAGGTTAGGTGGTTGGGATGACAACAGATGTGTCAGGATTCCATGTTTGTCCTGTTCTTGGACTTTGTCAGGTAAGTAAAAGAGAACATTATTTTTGTTACTTAATTTTAGTGATTATATGATTTCTGTGTTTGGCCATCTTGTAGTCAATTGTTAAGAGGCTTAACCTAAGGTCTAGCTATCAAATACACAAGACTTTTCCTGATGAGGCTTACTGCTTTCAGTTTCTGCCTCATCTCTGCTATGCTGGTGTCCAAGATTGCCATAGTTGTTTTCTGAAGGTGTATAGTTTGCAGTGAAGCATTTCAAGACAAAATGTTAAACTAACCTCTTTGTCACACTGCTGCGTGGACTTTGGAACTATTATTAGCTGTTCAGTCATCTTAGTTCACAGTACTTTCATCTTGCATCCAAACTTTGTTTTACTTTGTTGCTCACTGAGATGGTAAGTCTAATGCTTCTTACACTAGATTTAAACTGTGGAAAATTATTGTTTAAGTATTAGAGAAATACTGAAGCTGCTGTTAAAGTTCTCTCACCTGAAAATAGTTCTTCAGGTTTAATATTTTGGAACGTTTAAAAAATATTCTCTATCCTCTTGAAAATTTGAAGAATATTTTTAAATTTCTGATGTTACAGACTTCTAGAAGAACTGAAAAATACCCTCACTGTTTTCAGGAAGGTCCAGAGACCTCTGGATTGCAGTTGATCATTGGCAGTAGGTCATGGTACAGAACAACTGTGAAGCCATAAGGCATATGTTGGATCCACAAACGTGCCAAGTTGCAGTTGTTGTAGTCTCAAGATTTTTTGTAGCCATAAAGGATTGAAATAGTTTGGGTGAAAAGTTTAACTTTGATTCAGCAACTTCAAGAACTTTGGTAAAAGATGAGAGACATACAGTGTATGCATCTTCTTCTAGTGCTGTCCATACTCGGTCCTGACAAAAGTGAAATCACTTATGGTATAACTTTTTACTTTATCTCTCTTCCTTCCCTTTCCTCAACTTTTCTCTTTGTAATCTACTTCTCTATCAAAAACAGCTATGGAAGAATGACCTCAGTTCTTCTCAGGCTTGTAAGTAGTACTACCTGGCAGTAGTCAGGCTTCAGTTTGTTATTGGTTATAGGGAAAACAGTGAACTCAACTTTGCTTATCACCATTGTTTAATTTCTACCTGAGAAAATTCCAGTCTGATCAGATGAAAAAGTAGATGAAAAATGAAGACTCATGTGTAGTTCTTAATTTTTTTGAAAGTCATATTTTCTGCAATACATAGCAATGTCTTTTAACCTTTTCTTGACAATGCAATTACCAGTTTTTATACAGACTGGTGTGGAAAACTTGGAAGGAAATAGTTGACAACCCAACTTTGACCTGCTGGCACAATGTCATGTGCAGTGGAAGTGCCTCTTCTGATGTATGGGAGGATTAGTGTGACTGGGATGAAAAGTAATTCACACTTTGTTCTCTTCTCCTTTTCCTGCAACTG